CTGCATGGAAAATTACTGAACAAGTAAGAACCAAATCAGTGCTGGTGTTTACCTTAAGACTACCTTGCCATATAGTAATGCGAATTAAAGTTAATCTTCCTAACTGTGGTGGACATTCCACCACATAGGCTGATTTATGCTTCGGTGCATAAATAAATTGTAGGGCAGCGTTTGTATTACATTGTACTACCCAACAGCACCCCTCACACCATCTATCTCAGTTTCCACAATAACTTTGTTCCTTATTGAATTGTTGGAAGCCCTAGAGAGCGAAAACATGGAACTATTACTAAATGACAGTTCCAAGAATTGACATACAAATTAGTGTCAAAGGAAAATAATTTAAATGAGAATTTTACCATCGTCGTTAACAGTCTTTATCCATAAGCGTCTGTAACAATAAAAAAAAATTTTAAAAAATTAAAAAGAAAAAAGGCGAGAAAGGCTAACTGACAAAGGCAACGACAGGGATAATTTTCATACAACTCCTCGCTGAACAAGCTGCGAACTTCTTTGTACTTACCTCTACTGAATGAGTTAAAGTCGGTCGTAAAGACTTGCAAGACAAACTCCACCCTACGAAAGGCTAGCTCAAGATCTCCAATACAAAATAGAACTTTCACGGCTACTGGTAGGAGAAGTACAAAACGTTTAAGTTTCACATGGAAAAAATTGAAGTGAAGAATTCGTTAATCACGAACTTAGAGCTTTACGATCGCTAGGGTATTCTGGGAAAGCTACACGCGAGCTCTGATTGGAGCAATAAAGAGGTGTGACGGAGGTGTGTCCATAACCATGGTTACGAAATTGAACTTTCCAATATGGCAGAATACTGCAGGAGAGAAAATGGTTACTCGTGTATTTGCTTCGCCTGCAACTGATGGTAAACATAAAATGCGGATACATTGCAAGAGCATCACATGGATAAACAGCTCTATCTCTGAAACGAAATTTATTGGCACCACAACGGTAAGTTAATAAAATATTCACAATTCTTTACCAAGTATTAACCCATCTAAACCAGGTGGCAAAATTGGACACCTACTTCTCTTCCAAGTTTCTTAAAGCAAAGGAATATTGACATGTGTTGTTTTAGGAAATATTGAAGTCATCCCATGACAGTCAAGCTGTGAATGGTGTATACATGTATCCTAATACACAGAGCAAGAATGAAAACTAAGGGCAAGGAGTTAGTTGAGATTAGCGATTTATGCGACGAATTTTCCAGTTGCAGTCAATATCAATATCTGCTGGAACATCACAATTCAAACTTAATTGAGGTTAAAATAAAAAAAAAACTTTATTTTAGGAAATCGATCAAAAGTTACACAGTTTATTGATCATGAATGAGAGTTAACAAAATAAGTACATTGGTTCTAAAACCCTTCATATATAGTGATAGCCTAAAACTTACTGAAATACAATGCGGTTGCTGTCGCATATGTAATCAGAATACACTGTAATAAAATGATTAAGAGATTGCTAATGCAGGACTTGCTTTATGTAATGCCTAATACCAAAACCCAAAAAACACCCTGGGATAAAAATTGGGAACGTATTCCCCAACCAAATGCAGCAGCACAAACTCTGGGGGTCAGAGGAGTAAATTACTGACTAAAATTGTGATCAGTACATTTTCAAAGATTTAGTATTGAGCTAAATACAGTACAACCATTGATTCTTGCAAAAAAATCCTTTACAACAACCGCACAATAATTACTGCTCCAACACATATATGTTATCGTTAACTGTAACCAATAAATCTAAACAGATTTTGTAAAGACATATTTTGCTAACTTCCATTTTAACAATGTTGTTGTCTCAAAGTAACACTAATAAGAAGATCTCAAGTATTTCAAACCACTCGATAATTCAATAACGTTTATATCTGATATATTGGTTTACTAATGCCTGAGGAACAGATAATGATATTATCATTTTTAATGGGAGAAGAGACGGGGAGGGGGGCAACCATAGGAAAGCTTGAACGTATCTATGGATTGTTTTTTAAGTAAATTTCATTATGGATATTGCAGTAATCACATGCATTAAATTATTATTAAAGCTGACTTTCCGTGCTCATATAAAGTGACAGATGATGGAAAACTAAATGGAATCAATGTTGTTAAATTGAAGAAATTTACAAAGTTTCAGTGCAAAATACAGATTTCATTACAATCCATCATTACCTGAAACTACTTCAAAAATTATGTAAGATGAAAGTGGTGAGTTGTTAATGTCAGCCAAACTTTTGAAACAATCTTCCCTTCAAACAGGTATCACTAAGATTTGGAAATATAAAATGATTATAGGCATGCCCACATTTGTTCATAAAAATTACCCTTTACAAAAACATTTACTACTACACTAAAACAATCACAATTAATAGTGTCTTAAAAATTTTTTCTTAACGTACTAGTTAATGTTATTGTAGGATCATCATTTGACACTGATCCATTACCTAGAGGAGGAATTTGGATTCAGCAAGATAAGCAAATGGAATAATTTAGGAAAGAACAATGCAGCACTAAATTTTTAGTCTTTAAGGAATTGTTATCAGACTGTAAAAATGTATTAAACTTAACAATCTCATAATTTTTTCTTACTTTTTTCATTACTCAAATACATTTTCATACATGCAGAATGAATGTTTTTGGACACTGCACCACTACTTCCACTACCAGTGTATGCCATACTAATAATACATAATCATCTGATATCTTGGTTTTTTTCTTCTTTCAAGTAGACAGTTAACACTTAATGCAGCTAGTATACCATGGATATGTCAAATCCTTCTTTTTTTTTCATTCCTAATGCACTAAGTGGTTAGAATCCATTCCAAAGTGTCTTGTTGCATCTTTACTTAAGTTTGTACATTTAAGCATATACCTGCCAGTATTGCCAACACCATGCTTCATTTTTGGTAAATCATTGTCTTTGGCTGAAGGAGTTTTATTCACAGACAGGAGCAGATTCTGTGATATAAAAGAATTTTTGACAAATGTTGATTTAAACCTGATCGAGCAGCCATAAAATTGCAACATCCAATCCATCCAAGCCTGCTATATAACATTAAGTCAACACCAACCCTAAGGTCACTCATGTAGTCTCATTTCAGAATGGATCTTGTAAACTTAACTCTATCCTGACGTGAATCCTAGGTTCTAGAACTGACCAAACAAACAAAGGATTTTCTCAATCCTTATTAAATTT